AAGGGATCTCTAACCTTCCATGGTGGAAGGAGAATACTCTAAGATATGATTCGAGAGTCTTTGGCCAAAGCATATGAATATGACTTAGGAAGTTTGTTCCAAATCTTATTCAAGCGAATCATATAGGGAAGTATCACATTGGATAGTAGACATGAAACAAACTATCACTTCAACAATGTGATTAAGAGTATTGTATTAGAGAAGGACCGTATTGCATTGTAGTTGTAACTGGATAGGTTCTCCAACCACTTCTACTTAGCTTGGGTAACCATGACATGCTGCTAGGTGTCACTCATGGTTTGTGGAAGCCCTAAAGATTAGCAAACACTAATCTTAAGGGAGAATTGAAATATGGTTTAAATTCACAATCGATAGTTAAGAGTAACATCGCCCACTGCCTCGCTAATTGGAACCTAATGGATCGTACACCGAGTAAGGATGAAAGTGAGGTAATTAAATGAAATGGATAAGCAATTAAATGGTTAATTGAAGTATGGTCAAAGTTAATTAATTATACGAAACGTTCGTATTGGACTTCTGAGTTGGTTTTGGGTTTAGGGGCCCAAAAGTGTTTTGGTCCACAAGGCCCATTATGTTTAAGTTGTATGATAACTAAAACAAAATGGGCAATTAGCACAAACACTTAAGAGAGGCCGGCCATGGATAGTGAGGGGTACCAAACTTGTGTTAATTACAAGTTTGCCACTCACAAGAAATGAAGTATAAATTCAAAATTATAACTTTATTTTGTTAAGGGTTTTTCTTGATGAAATTATTCTCTCTATTTCAACAAGGGAGGCCGGCCACTTAGGGAGGGGATATCTAGCAATTTCCTCTCCCCTAAGTCATCCACTTTTATCTTCACAATTAATCTTTGGTGTAGAGACTTGGAGACATCAAGCTTTTGGTGTTTTGGAGAACATATCCTCAAATCCTCAAGGAAGCAAAGGAGGTGACTTGAAGGCCCTCCACTTGGGTGAATCCCTTGTGTAATCAAGGATGAGCTACAAGGGTAATGATTCTCTAAATCCTTTCTTCTCTTTAATGTTGTTAAAGAGTTATGGTTCACCATATACTAGGCTTTGAAAGTCATGGGTTTTATGAATTGTTTTTGGATGCATGCCTACTTTAATTTGTTAATAGTTTGCCTATGTATTCAAATGTTCTTTACATGTTCTTAGTAAGGACATAAATTTTCCTTCAGACCGAGCTCAGTTGCAAGTTAGCACCCTTGCATTCACAAGAAGGATGTAATTAACTCATAGCTACTTGGTCTAAGTGCCACGAAGGCTTTTATGGTCAACAATCAGGTAGTTATTTGGAATATTAAAGGCTAATTTAGAATCAACTATAAAGGTTGGGTAATTATTCATACTTAACCCTAAAAACAATGATCATTGATAACGATTCGCTGAAATGTGGTGGCTTGTTCATGCCTTTCATAAGCTACTTGGTACCTACGATCCAATTCCGCTCAATCGATTTAAGATGATGATTTGGTAGGATCCAATATTAGAAGATTTGGCAATTTTTTCTAGATTTGATGAAATGCACCTATTCTATATTGCATTGATACAAATACATAGACAATTATGTTCATTTCATGCTATAATTTTCACGAAATTTAATTTCATAATTAGAAATCTTAATTAGGGATGGTTTTGTCAAGATCCAAAATATGGGGGTTTACTCCATAACACACACTTTTATTAGCCTGACAGGGTATTCATGCTTTAAAGTTTTCCTTGTTTTTTTCTTTTTTCTTCAGTATATGTACTATTGTTAATAGGTAAAGGATGTACATGCCTTTTGATAATGACAAAAACTTATAAAACATAAGCAGTACTTACACATATGTTGTACTTACACATAGGCTCTAACATAAAATTTCATATTATATTGTACTTTGCACATATGGCGTTAGGGTTAGGTTTGAAGGACCAAAGCCTCTGATTTTGAAAGGCCGAAAATAATTAACTTGATACAAATATATAGGTTATGTATGTTCTTGGATAATAAAATACCAAATTTTGCACTTAGCAAAATTGGTGTTTCTTCGTTCAATTTCACGCAAGGTCAGATCTCCACCCATTCCTCAATTACGCTTGAAATTGTGTTGAATTGCCCCCCCAATCCAAAAAAATTTGCTTTAGAACAACTCCAGCTTTGCAAAGGCCCCCTAGGACAACTTACTATTGAATCCACCCAGTGAATAGTAACTGCCTTTTGGATCTCGACCCCTAAAACTAAATAGCCATGGCAATAGGAAATAACATATTAGTATTTTTTTCCTCACCCAATCCATCAGACATCCCCATCACCCTTTCCATTTTTCCCCTCATTTGACTGGTTCTTCCTCTCTCTCCCTTTCTCTCCCTTTCTCTCTCTCTCTTCCTTTCTCTTTCTTTCTCTCCCTCTTTTCAGCTCACTCTCGTGAGCTCTCTTCCTCCTTCCTCTTCAAACCTTCAACAAATCAAGCTCAAAAATAATATTTTTGGAATCCCTGGAACTCAAGGAACCCAACCATGACCTTGCATGCGGCATTGGTGGAACTAAATAACACAATTTGCTGCTGGCTTGACACTTTAAAACCCTTTAACACCACCCTCTCAACTCCCAGCCTCAGCCATTCATAACTTCTGCAAGAAAAAAAAAAAAAAAAAAGACAGAACAGAAAGAAAAAAAACAGAGCACTTCCACCAAAAATTTCAAAACCCCATCATTCCAAAAGCAAAAGCAAAAAAGAAAGAGATAAGAAAATATAGAGAATTTCACGAAAAGGGCTGATTTTTGTTTTTGTGAAGAGGAAGTAGAGGAGGTTGAAGATAAGATGATGCAAACGGAGCAGTCTCAGTCGACGGTTCAGCTGCAGCAGCAGCTGGTGGTGGTGCAGAACTCCGTCGGAAGCCTCAGTTTCAACAACAATATGTTGAAAGAGGACGAGGAGATGTCAAGGTTGCCGCATGCACTGATGCCACACATCATCCACACATCACACAACCCTTAGACTCTCGGACTGTCAATTCTTGCATGGCCTCTCGCTTGGGCCTTCCTTGAGCCTCATCGCCCATATGGGCTAGAGCTTCTACCTAGGGCAATTGGGTTGGAGCAACAACTAGTCTATCGAGCTATTGAATACGGTGGAGCTACTCTTAGCAAAGGAAAAAGTGGAGGCGATTAGGCCTAGGGCTAATGTCTTTCAGTTGCCCTAGCTTCCTTTGCTTGAGCTTACGCCTGTTTGCTACAGAAATGCTTATGTGTGGCCCACTCACATGCACAACCACCTATAACATCCCACATCGCCCAAGGGAGTGAATCCTGTAAGCCTCATATGCATATTCCCATCTCTACCTAGCACAAGACCTTTTGGGAGCTCACTGGCTTTGGGTTCTATTGGAACTCGGAAGTTAAGCGAGTTCGTGCGAGAGGAATCCTAGGATGGGTGACCCATTAGGAAGTTCTCATGTGAGTTCCCATAAACAAAACTGTGAAGGTGTAGTAGGGGCCCAAAGCAGACAATATCGTGCTACGGTGGAGTCGAGCCAGAGATGTGGTGGAGGCCCTGGTCGAAATGTGACACCACCCCTTTTCCTGCTTCATAGCCGATGGATTTCCAATGGTTCTTTCATTTGAATTGTTAGATTTTCAACGTTAAAAATATTGAAATTTTTAAGTTGTGCCATGTGACACAATCACAATCTAGAGGATCTGATTTAAAAAAAAAAAATTGATAATCAACCGTCATGATTAATTCAAAGGTAAGAACAACAAGAACCAAGCCTTATCCCAATAAGTGGGTCGGCTATATGAATCCTAGAAAGTTATTGCGCTGGGTTTTGCACCAAGTACTTCATATCTTTTCTTATAGTTTCTTTCAAGGCCTTCCTAGGTCTTTCATACACATATGCACCACATGAAAAACCACACAACCTACCCCATTTGTATTCACAAATACATAGGTGGGTAGAAAGAAAAAAAAAAAAAGAGGAATCATTTGATTAAAGTGAATTTGTGTGGATTTTAAACAAATACATCGGAATTTATATAGTTTTGGGTGACTTTTGATTTAAATAGTTTTTTCAATTGCTTAAGCCGTAGGATTTAATTTTGGGTTAGTATATCTTTTATTATTGTTAAATTTGCTCATATTCGATCTCAACCATTGGATTTAATGTATCTATGAATTTGATTTAAAAAAAAAAAAATTGAATCTAGACTGTTGGTTCAACCAACGGTCTAACCACGTGGGCCATCCAATAGAAAAAAAGTCTTTGGCTTTTTGCAAGTGGCCAACAGTGTCACCAACTGGGTCTTAGTACTACTCCCAACTATTAATGTGACATCCTGGTCTGGGCCCCCACCATATCTCAGGCTCAACTCCGTTGTAGTACAATATTGTACCCTTTGGGCCCCGACCACACCCTCACGGTTTTATTTCTAGGAACTCACACGAGAACTTCCCGGTGGGTCACCCATCCTGGGAATGCTCTCGCCGGAACTTGCTTAACTTCGGAGTTCCAATGGAACTCGAAGCCAGTGAGCTCCCAAAATGCCGTGTGCTAGGTAGAGATGAGAATATACATATAAGGCTAACAAGATTCTTGGGTGATGTGGGATGTTACAATTAACCTTGGCTCATTTTCTTGGTTAAATTTGGCCCAAAAAAATGTTTTAACCCATACATTTTTAGCCAAATGATTGTAGAAGCTTTGTATGAGTTTAAAACTTAAATTTTTGGTTTTAACCCAACCATTGGAGTTGGTCTTATAGGTTAAAATCCTGCACCACCTCCAGTTGTTTTTTGTGCATATTTTTAAGAGAGGAAAATTTCGAAACAACACCAGAATGTTTCAAACTCAGGGCCTCATAAATGGTTTCAAAATCCACCAATTCAACTAACTAAATAAGGGGTTTATTTTGGTTTTTTTTTTTTTTTTTTTTGAAGAACAAAGTAATGTGGTTTATTTTGGTTTTTAGGCCCAAAGAAAATAGATCTTTAGATGACCACTTCTATCTCAAGAAAACGAACAAATGAGAGTGACAGTGAGATGAAGCAGATGCGGAAGAAGAAGTTGAAGGTCAAGTAGAGGAAGAAGGAGAAAAGGATGCTGAAGCATATGGCAAAAAAGAAACGATGGTGAGGAGGTGATGATGTTGGTGATCCTAAGGAAATAGAAGAAAAAATGCCCTTGGACATTTACGGGATCACACTAGATGAAGAATCCCATCATTTGACAACACTGCCAATCGAAAACTGCCTGACTTAACTAATTTACCTGAGTATGTTCTCGATGAGATCGTTGAACATGGACATGTAGATAACCCTTTGTATGGTGACACTCCTATTGAAGATTACTCCATCTTTTATTTCCAAGTACAAGGCAGAAACTGTTGTGAGGTTCGACCAAGAGGAGACAGCTTGGGGTCTTTTCGTGAATTGGTTGATTGGGTTGCTGCTTGTGATGGTGAGCTGGTGATGGATGTTTACTATAAAGCCAAGAATTGGGAAAAAGAGTTGGTAGGTTGGAAAGTAATTTCATTCTCAAGTTGCGGTTGGAATTTTGGAGTAAAAAAATAATCTCAAAAATCATAGAGTTGCCACGTCAAATATTTCTGTAGAAGACAAGAATGCCTTTGTTAAATTGGCAAGGCTCGCATTTAATGTACTCATAGTTCCACCTCTTGAAGACATGAGCAGCTGACTACGACATCATCAAACTTTTCTGCCCATGACAAGGAGAAAAGTCAAATGCAAAGATAAGATGAATTACCAAATCCTATCTTTAATATGCTCATGATTGAAGATTAACTCAAATAAGCAAGAATTTCCAATCATATCCGCTTAAGGATATTTCCAAAGATTTTCCCAAAATATAATTACTATATTTGGGATTATTCTTTTCTCTTTCATCCTACACACGACTCACCTTGGCCAACGATGCCATCATGTGTAGGGTTCCTGCACCCATGACCGACCTCCTCCTTATAAATACATTATCTCCACCAACTTCTGGTGTCACCCTCGGGTGTCAACCGACACGTGGCCATCTTGTTGTCCTTCAGACACCGGGATTGGGGCGGGTCATGTCCTATGCTTTTATCAGGTTTGAATACTTTATAATATATTTGTCATTTTATTTTGCAGTTTATGATAAAATTATATATATTTTAATATAAGCAGACACTTATTTATAAGATATATAATATATTTACTTAAATTCACCTAGTCCATTTAGGTTCCGCCTAACTGCCTAGGAGATAGGCCCCAAGTTGTCGTCGTCCGACTAGCGCCTAACGTCTTTTAGAGCATTTCTAGTATCATAATCGAAATATTTCATTCTCTATATTATTTATAAAAATACTCATTTAATCATCCATATGAATCATACAAATTAACGATTTATTATAAAAATAAACGGTCATTTTGTTACTACAATTGTTGTTGATTTGTTCAACGCATGCAAATGACAAAGGTGTCCAGGTTAAATGAATTTGTTTAAAGATAATCTTTACGACGTTTGTGCGGAGAAATATAGTCACGTCACGGAGAGAAGTATTGTGTTTTTACCCAACCCCTCCCTAATTAAAGGTTTTAAAATGGTATGAAAAGTTACTTTTGGCCCTGGTGTTCCCAAAAATCCTATTAAATTTGAAAATTTGGCTCCATTTTAGGCAAGCTTCGTGGTCATTGAGAGTCTGACAGAAAATGCAAAAATTTGAATCGAACGGTCTTTTCATCTTTCTACACTGAGTAAGCCATTGACTGTTACTAAGCACCAACAAAGAGAGAGAGAGAGAGAGAGAGAGAGAGAGAGAGAGAATGGCTGTTCCTCAAGATCAGAAACAGTGCCCCAAGGTCCAATCTTTCTTCCTTTCTCTTCTCTCTCAGATTTTTGGATGTTTAATTTTACTTTATCTGAGTTTTTGACTGTTTTTTGTTTCTGCTGATATGAGTTTTGCAGAGTAATAGGGGGAGGCCACCGAAGGAGAAGGAAAAGTTGCTTAGCAAGAAATCTTCATGTCTGAAACCGACGACTAAAAGCATTGTATGAAACAACACCATATATAATGTTCTATGTTTTCTTATTGTATTACCAATTCCTGTGCACATATTTTTTCTTCTTTTTTCGTATTTTCTTGTTTAGAACTGTACATGGTTTCATGATTATATTAAGTTCGAAATTTATCGAATATTATGAAATTTTTGAAATGGGTTTTTGCTAGGAAAGTTTTGGGACAAACAGTATTTTCAAACCACCTAATCACTACGGAAACTGATAATCCAATTAAGCCTTACGAAAATCCTCAAAACTGTTTGGGTCTCAAACAATATTTTTTATATTGGGCCGGACTAAAATGCACTAGCTCATTAGGCTTTTGTCTTTTGAAAAATAAAAATACAAAGTAGTAGCATGGAAAATTGAATTTTAAGGCTTCGAGTGTATCCATGTTGACATGGAGCTCAAAGGAAAAAAATAATTTAAAAAGGGAAATGGGTTAACTGCCTGTACGTGGTGGCTCTTTTACTTTGCAAACTTATCCTAGTTTTTTTATTTTTTTAGTTCAAATTTCAAATTAAATTGTTTTCTTTTAAAATTAAGTTAGCAATAATCTTTTGAGCAATAAGTATTTTCTTGAATAAAATTATCAAAATTTAAGTAACCACGTGTTTGTTGAGTTTCTCAGAAATCACACAATCAAAAGAAAAATGCCATTTAACCACAAGTTGGTGGTCTAATGGTAAATAGCAGATTACAAAGCTTCATTCAACCACTACAAAAATGTGTGGAGGTTTCAAGTTCGAAACCCATTATTGTTGTGGAAGTCAGAATTATGGTCAGAGAAAGATTAAAATGTCTGTGTGAGTTTTTCCGACATTCGAAAGAAATGGATAATAGTGATTTTCTATACATTGTCCTCCTTTTTTAAAAGGAAAAAAAAAATGAAATTACCATTTTACTTGCTCTACAAGTTAGGTAGACAGTAGGAGTTAGTGGGGGAGCTGCACAACTGTAGTGGCATTACTGGGCAACTGCCACGTGTTTGTTGAGCGTCGTTTATAGGTCTTCACAAGGCAAAATTTAGAGTAATGCTAGAGAAACTAAATTTTTTAAATTAAATTTGCAAACCAAATGATGTGTGATTGTAGATGATTGGATTATTAATTAAGTATCAATTAACGTGCTTGTTTCTTATTAGTAACACATCATTTGGTTTGCAATTTAGTTTTAAAAAAAATCCTCCCTAGCATCACTCCAAAATTTAATCCTCTGGTAAATTGTAGAACAAATCATTACTGCAAGTTTTCTGTTGTCTTCTCCCGAAAAAAGAACTTTACTCCTCTCCTTTCTATCTCGGTTGTAAAAAATTGTGAGCATTTTAATTTCTTTAATTGTTTTATTAATGTTTCCTCTTCCCTTTCAGTTGATGCAAATACTGAGTTAACTGAAAAACCTTGCAAATTCTTGAATGCAGGTGGTCAGTGCCAATCCTAAAAGGTCAGTGGTATATTTTAATCTCTTTTTAGTTATAATAAATGTTCTTTACACGACGATATCCTAAACCCTAAACTACTTAAATTTACACGGTGGTTTAAACTTGAATGCATATAGCGGATTAACTGTCTTATTTAATTGGCCTGACTCGTGTCTGCTATTATAATTAATCTTAGTCTTCCTACTAACAGTAATAAAAGAAAGAGAGCTACAGTAGATAGCTTGTATGGTACTTGCCAAGCACAGTCTTTTGTTCTGGAAAGAGCCAAGGAGGTGGAAGCAACCCTAGATCCTAGGCTTCCTGTCCTGCTCAAAGTTATGCTGCCTTCACATGTTACCGGAGGATTCTGGCTTGTAAACCCTAATCTCACTCTCTTCACAGTTTGTGTTATTTACATACATGGACTAGTATGAAGATGTAATTTATGGGAACTTAAATTTGGTTTGGCAGGGTCTTCCTAAGAAGTTCTGCTGTGAGCATTTGCCAAAACAAGATACAATAATTGTTTTGGAGGACGAAAGTGGGGAGGAGTTCTACACGAAATATCTTTTGGAGAAGGTGGGACTGAGTGGTGGATGGAGAGGGTTTTCGATTGCTCACGACCTGCTGGAGGGAGATGTTGTCGTCTTCCATGTACTCACTCCTACCAAGCTTAAGGTAATTGGTAACTTCTTGAAATGTGTATGTGTGCATCCATTGTGAATATTCTACAAATTGTTAGGTTGCAAGTGCCTTATGATACATCATGTTAAAATTGTTGAATTGGAGAAGACAATCAATGCCTTTAGAAAATGTTGTCATAATTTTGGACCAAAGCATGCAAATCAAAATTGCTATCAATGAGTTTATACAGAAGCTAGATGCTAGGGTGGCTATTATGTTTGTGACGATAACTAGAATGTTTATCTTGCAATTTGAAAGAACAATTTCGTTAATTGTACATCCGGATTTGTCACTAAAGTTAAGAATTCTAGTGGATCCCTTAAATCCAGGCTGTTGAGCATAGACTATAGGAATTTCACCGCTTTAAGATGCTACTTATGTATCCATACGAACAACTCAATTTTTTTTTTCCCTACTTGTTTAGGTGTACATTGTCAGATCAAATGGTTCAGATGATTTGGACGGTGCTCTTGGCCTGATGAGATTAGATGCTTGCACTAAACAGATGGATACTGGTAAGTCCCTTCAATATTGACCAAGTTGTTTTGCCAAATGTCTTGACAATCACGATTCTTACTTTCTTGATTCCCCTGTATCATTTCTTTAAATTAAATCATGCAGGAGACATTGTTGCATGTGAAAGGGAAGATAGTGAGAATTTGGAATCTATTCCTGAGGACAACGCAATAGCCTTTGATACAAAATCTGGTCCGTCATCAGACCATTCCGGAAATGATAGTGAAAATCTCGATTTTGAAGTTCTGGATGGACTTAGACTTTCAGAAACTGTTGTCACTTTTGAAGAAGTGAACTGCATGGAGAACTTCAACGTTCTCGTCAATGGTTTAAACATAAACTCAGTGTTTTCAAAACACATTCTGAGAAAGTACTATGAGCTTTGCTGCAGTCAGAACGCTTTCCTTCATGAACAGCTTATCGAGGGTCTGAACTGCAAACTGGTTGCTGGAGTAATTTCTGAGACAGTCAACATTGCAGATGCCATCAGGGCCTGCAAAAGAACTACCTCAAAAGGTAACTTTTCCACTTGGGATACGACTTTGAAAGCCTTTGACGATTTAGGCATGAATGTTGGGTTCCTGCGTGCCCGGCTGGACCATCTGGCAAGTCTTGCTTTAAAATCAAAAAGATTTAAAGAGGCTAAACTTGAAAAGGACCGAGCAGAAGAAGAGAAGAGAAACTTGGAGGCAAAGCTTGTGGAAGTTCAGAGCGGAATTAATCGGCTCGACTCTGAGATGAAGACTCTAAATACGAGTTCAGAGAAGCTTGAGCTTATGTTTCAAGAGGTGGCTAAAGCCCCTTGGTGATGAGAAAACTTCAATGCCTCTCGTTCTTTTAAGTTCTTTTTTGGTATAAGTAAAAGGTAATTCAGGACCAGAACCGTGCCAAAGCTACATGGTGAAGAAACGTTGTGTCATGACTCTTGCCTTCTCCGTGGAGTCACATGCGCATCGATCAATTGGTAATCTTTTGCATAGAAATCAGCAAGGTAGTTAAGTGATTTTGGGTAACTTGACGGTAGAATTATGTTCACCGGAGGTATCAGTAGGTACCGAGTAGGGAGGAATTATTGTTCATTCTGGTTCTCTCTTTTGTAATTTCCTTATGAATATATAGTCTATTTGCCAAAGCTCCTCCTCTCTTACATAACACACAAGCGGTTGATGTGAGATCAGATACTGCAGTCAGTTGTGTATTTCCATGCCCCAAAAAATTGCTACTAAAAGCATATCCGAGGAAATATTTTTAAAGCAAATGTGTCTTTTAATGGTTGCCTCGAATATTTGTCTTAACCTGCGTTAATATGTCCTACTAGAGAAATTAAATTTGTAGAAAAAATTTGTAAACTAAATATGTATCATCAATATAAATGAGCACATTTATCAACGCTTAAGTAATAATCAAATCAATTTCTATGTCATTTAGTTTACAAAATTTTGTTTATAAATTTAACACGTAGAGCAACAAAAATAATAAAAATACCCCCATGCAGGATCAAACTACAGACCTTCAGTTTACAAGATTGACGCTCTACCACTAAGCTATAGGGGCATTTGTGTTGTGAACTCGGATTTGTTATAAATTTAATCTACTACTTTTATTTGGTGCCCACTCATAGTGTGCAGGCGCCCTACTAACCTGAGTAGTTTAGAGTGTGCTTAAGGTGATTTCACAATACCATATGGTGGTGAACAAATTTCAAACACCATGCCTTGCTTGGACCTAGGCTCCATTGCCAATTAATCACTTTTATCAACAAAAACTAAAATAACTGTCTGTGTGGGATAAACTTATTTATTTATATAGTTTTTATTATAAGAGACGAAGAAAGTTGAGAGATCAAGGCTGCTCAAAATCCTGCAAGAGTTAGAAAAAAAACTTAACAACCTTTATTTTTTAAACGCTAAAATTAAGCAGTCATTTATTTTCTAAAACCCTAAAACTGAGGAGTCAAGCATGTAAAAAATACCTAAAATATCTAAATAGAAAATATATTTTTTAAACGCTAAAATACAGTCCGTATACAAAATCCAGTACCAAAGCCATACCATTAATTGTTGGTTTGGTAATGCCAACTGATTATGAAAAAAATGCCAAACGTATACCATACCATTATGAACCGATCAGTATGGTTCGGTTGATAAATCGGTTTATAGAAAAATTTCCCATCCCTACACTAAGGAGAGGGAGTGGGCTTAGCCTCACAATGGGCTAGCAATATTGTGGTTTAACTTCATCTTTAGTGACACGTGGTGTACCATCTCGTGTACTGGTTATACTGAAAAATCTTTCCTCGCGTTGCTGTTTAGTTTTTCTAAGCAACCTCCATAGTGCTGGATCTTGTTCCGATTTATTTCATTTTCTTCAATGAACTAATAATTAAGATCGCCGATTGTTGTTTAAGGGAGAGAGGGCGAGAGAGAATTGTGGATTAAGCTAGTTTTTGAGTTATAGGGTTGATGCTTTTCTTGAGAGTTTGGGTTTGATGATGGAGGACAGTGAAACAATGGTGAATTTGGGTTGGGGTGGCAATGGTGAATTTGAGTATGCACCATATCCAAAGTTGCCTTTTTCTATTAGGGTTTATGGTTACAATGAGAGACCAAAATTGAGAGAGAAAGAGTGGTGACCCAATACTAGACAGCGGCCGATGAGGAGGAGGTGGAGGCTACTATCGTTGCAACATTATAACCCCTTTCTTTTCTCTTATGAATCTAATCCAACTATGGCTACATTCCTTACATACCAGCAACCAAACCCAACAAACCCTCTTGATTTCCGACGACGACCCACCCATTTGCCAGTTCTACACCCATTTTTTTATTTTGGGGCAAAATTGGAATATAAATTTTTTTTTCTCAAAAAAAAAAAAAAAAAAAAAAAAAAAAAAAAAAAAAAGTTGTAGAGATAAGATTGCAAGTTCACATAAAATTTCCCAAACTCTTTCAAGCAATCCCATAGGTATTCATGTGATATTTTTTAGTCATTCTTTGGTCATCTGTTGTAATTTTTCTTTTTCATTTTTACATGAAAAAAAAATTGGTAAAAATACCCGGAATAGGACAATTTCTTAATATTGGGACAAAAATAGGACATTTCAAATATGCACACGCCATGCACAACAATTAGACAGAAATAGGATTTTCCTACACCTTGAAATGACTTAATTGCCCTCGTATATAAAAGGGTTATTCCTCCCATTTTCTGATTTCTCTTTCTCTACTTTCTCCCTCTCTCTCTTCTCTCACTTTCTCCCTCACGCACTCTCCCTACTTCTCATTGTGCACACAAGGTGAATAGTCGTCTAGACCACCGTCCAAATCGAAGCCACCCCCAGTTTCATCTTGTCCTCACGAGTCCAAAACACCTAGTCTTGTCACGAATCTCATCCCCGATCGTTGGGATCGAAACTCAAGCAGGTCGTGAGTTTTCCGGCCATTTTCTGGCAATACTAAAAACATTCAAGGCTCACGAGGCTTAAGACTACCACCACTGGACTTGCATCGAAAGTGGGAACAAAGCCCAGTCATTAACTGCGGGTGCACAAAACCTATTTGTTTTTTGCTCTCTTCCTTCCAATATTTTCAAATTAGTGCGATTAAAGAAGTGAGCATTTTCATATTTAGGGAAGGGGAGAATAAACCCAGAAGTTGTATGAAGTAATAGTGAAGAAAAATTTAATCAATGGGATTCCCTGCCTTGTTTGAATGTTTGTGATGGTGTTTCCTAAAAATTGGCAAAAATTGGTGTTTTGTTGGATGAATTTTTCAGGATATGCTTACTATAAGTACACGACATGCGTATGATATGCTCACAGAAGCTAGCCCAAAAACCCAAGGGCTCACAGCTCTCTCTTCAAAATCAGAACAATGATGTCATCACCATATACACTATATGCACACCACATGCACATCATATATACAATACATGCACATGATATGCACAGAATTGGAGATCAAGCAACGAGCTGCTTTTCACATTAATAAGAAACTTTAACGGCAACCTATTGGTATAATGGACAAGACTCGCCTGGGCCGAGACCAACTCACTTCTCTCTCCTGTACAATTAAAACATAATTGTTATGTATATAAGGTTACAATGGCAGTTTGAAAATTCTTGTTAAGTATATCAATCACCGCTTAATCGTGCATGTGGAAAACATGATACTCATTGTTGTTATTTCATGGACACACATGATCCTTAACATCCTCTAAGCTTTTTCTTAATTTAGTTTTTTGCCGAGGCCGACTAGGTTGTGGTCATACTCGCTAAATTCCGGGGCACAACGTATGTGCATCATATCTAGTGAACATTCCCGCTTTTCATATTAAGATGTAACCATGCACACCATATGCACACCACATGCACATTACAGAAAAAATTTCACAAATTTCTACAATTGGACACTTGAACCAAAAATTGTTCCATCCCAGTTTTGTAGTATGTCAAAACTTGAAATTTATTCCACAATCCATAGGCCCTAACATGAAACACAACCTTAATTTAACTTCTAAGTATTAATTCATCTTACAAACAACCCATTTAATGACTGGGCTTCTAAGTATTTAACTTCAAATCTGTGAGAATATCATGTGCATGTTGTGTACATACAATGAACAAATCCTAAAAAATTCATCCAACAAAGCACCAACATTTAATGCTTGAGATTTGTTCCCACCCTCGATGCGAGTCTAGTGGTAGTGGTCTAGAGCCTCGATTGTTTGTCGTGTTGCTGGAAAATGGTTGGAAAACTCACAGCTTGCTTGAGTTTTGATCCCAACGATAGGAGATGAGATTCGTGATAAGGCTAGGTGTTTTGGACTCGTGAGGACGAGATGAAATTGGTGGTGACTTCGATTTGGATAGTGTTGGTCGTAATTGAAGGAAGATTTGTGAAAAACATGTTCATTTAAGCAACATCAATAGCATGCAATTAACAATTAAAGGCGGAATCATGCTTGTATGCACTTAAAAACAAAACATTTACCCATGAAATTCAAAGCCTAGTAGATAGGTGAACCAAGACTCAACTCAAAACAAAGTGAGTTGAGAAATCAATACCATTGTAGATTCCTCTTTGCATAAGCAAAGGCTAATCACCCAAAGAGAGGGCCTTCATTCCTTGCATCTTAGATCCATGGATTTGGATGGATGAAAAAGTTTCTCCAAGTTCCCAAAATTGAGAACCTCTAATGATTCATCACCAAGGCATAATGAAGAAGAAATGAGTGACCTTGGAGGAGTTTGATTGCTAGATGATCCCTCCAAGGTGGCCTAAATTTTAGAGAGAAAGGAGAGCTTGTGTTCTCATCCTTTCCCCAAAAATTACCATATGTAAATTTTAGGCTATAAAGTCCTTTATATAGTCCCTTCAAATAAGTGACCTAATGGACCAAAAGCCCTATTCTTCTAACATGGCAAGCCTATAGGGTTTATTGGGCTTTCAAGCCCTTTGTTTATTCAAGTTGTCATACAACTTGAGTTAATGGGCTTGACATTCAAATCCCATTGGGCCTTGCGGCCCAAAACTAACCCGAGGTCTTTAACGAACTTATTCGTTTGATTAATTAACATATTAATTAATCCTAGCCTTAGATAAATAATTAAACCATTTAATTATTCTTACTCATCTCCGTTGTTTCTTCAAACTCTACCTTACTCGGTGAACGATCCATTAGGTTCCTTTTAGCGAGGCAGTGGGCGATTAAAACTCTTTCTAATCGATTGTGAATTGAAACTTACTTTCAATTCTCCCGTTAGTGATAATACACTTTTAGGGCTTCCACAAACCATGGTTGACGCCTAGCAGCATGTCATGGTTACCCAAGCTAATCAGAAGAGGTGGAGAACCTATTCAGTTTTAGGATTACAAATGCAATACGGTCTTTCTCTAATACAATACTCTTGACCACATTGTTTGGTTTGATAGTTTATTCATGTCTACTATCCAATGTGAGTCTTGTGCTTATATGATTACCTTGAATGTGATTTGGAACACATTCCTAAATCTCATTCATACTTTGGCCAAAGATTCTTAATCATATCATAGAGTATTCTCCCTCAAACAGTTTGAAGGTTAGAGATCCCTTGTTGCGCATTCACTTGCCTCCATGGCTAAGTGGCTTAACCCCAACGATGCCATGGACACCCTCCTGATGGAGTGACTTTGACATAATCAAAGATTAAGGACCTAACCACAAGACAACTGTGATGCCTCAGGTCAAAAGACTAATTTGCATTATCCCAACCATGAGTTCTCATGTGACATGAATATGAGAACTCTTCGTTGATCGTGTTCAGTGAACTCATTCTCTATTGAGCACCTACGTACTTGTCTTGATGTCACACACACCAATGACTCGAGACTAGTCACTCTCCCTGAGAGAAGACATAGCACGTACTGATCTTAACGGACTGTCAATGCCCAATTGACAATCCTATGATCAGGAACATTTAGGATGTGTCAACGAAAGAATGGTCTCATGAATCTAACTTCTTTAGATCGCATTCTTCCAATCACATATTCCTTGGACTTATCGTTTAAGCATATAACATTTATATGAGACGGCTCAAACAATAATGTTTGCCCTTTACATTTAAACTACATTAGTTTGAAATGTCCGTAAAGTATTATCATATGATTGGTTTTAGGGCACATTTCCAACAGTAATGACAGTGCACTGTGTGTGCACAGTGAGAAGGGGAGAGAGTGCATGAGGGAGAAAGTGAGAGAAGAGAGAGGAAGGGAGAGAGAGTAGAGAGAGAAATCAGAAAATTGGAGGAAATAACCCATTGATATTTGGGTATTTTTAGTATTTTTAGTTTTGTGCATGGTGTGCATGGCCTGATTTGTCTTATTTTTGTTTCAAAATTAAAAAATTGTCCCATTTTAAAGTATTTCCCAAAAAAATTTGTATGACACTATATACTATCACATGACATTCTATACTAATAATATAAAGAAACGTGCAAATTTTTTTCTCCATATCCTTTGGCGCAAGATGACACCAGCCGATGGACCCGTACAAATTGTTCTCCTGAGGATAGTATACATGTTTTACAAAGACTAATTGCTGAGTTGCATCACATCCCAAAACGTTCTTCTATATATATGTATGTGCGCACGTTCTAATAGTTCCTCAAAATAAGCATCGTTATATAGCCACGTTACAACTAAACAACACATGGACACCTTATCTTCCCACCACGCATACCCACTGCATGCATGTAATTTGCAACAACCTCATCCCTTTTCTTTAAATACCCTTTACCGACGGCCTCCAAAAATAACCCACCACCACAATCATAATGTCGACGACTCACACACAAGTCCCTGGCGAGCCAACCAAGACGGGGACAGCCCTTCTTGAAACCGCCACTTCCGCCATCCAAGCCTTCGGCCCCGTCAACAGAATCCACCAACACCTATGCGCCTTCCACTTCTACTCCCACGACATGACCCGCCAAGTGGAGGCGCACCACTATTGCGCCCACCAGAACGAGGAGATGAGGCAGTGCCTCATTTACAATGGCCCCGAGGCCAACGCCAAGCTGATCGGCCTCGAGTACGTCATCTCAGAGAAACTCTTCATGACACTCCCGGACGAGGAGAAGCCGCTATGGCACTCGCACTCGCACGAGGTCAAGAGCGGCGTCCTGTTCATGCCTGGAGTGCCGGGCGTGATCGAGAGGCGGGATCTCGAGAAGGTGTGCAAGACCTATGGGAAGGTGTGGCATTTTTGGGAGGTGGACAAGGGGGATTATCTGCCCCTTGGGATTCCGAAGGTTATGATGGCGTTAACCAGGGACGGTCAGCTGGACGAGGGATTGAAGAGGGACGTCGAGAAGAGGTACGGGGTGAGTTTTGATGAGGAGAAGGTGAACCGGGCGTATATGAGTGGGCCCGAGCATGGGGTGCATCCGCTGGCGAACGGCGGAGGGAAAGGATTGACGACGGAACTGAGGGAGACGAACTGCGTTGGGCTTCCGGCTGATTCTGCTGCTCTTTTTCTCAGGGCGTCTGTTTGAGTATAAATTAATTAATAATAATGATTAGGCGTCTGTTTATAAATGAAATAAGATAATGATAATGATTAGGCGGCTGTTTTGTCAAGTGTTGTTTCTGAAACCTGCGGCAGTTTTTGTTCATGCCAAAAACAAGACATTTTCTCTACACGGATGGAGTTGGGCTGCAAGAAATTTTTCAATGTGATTGTCACACGATGTGGTACATCACGTGTTTTTATATAAATAGTATTTTATATGTGTAAAAAGGTTAATAACTTAAAAATTAAAATTTTTCACCACCTGCATAAAAACAAGTGAAGTACCATTCGTGTTCCTATCATAACTATAAATTTCTTGCTAAAGAGAAAAGCTGCCAAAAACAAATAAATAAAAGTTGCACTGCCGTAATCTAAGCCTTATGTGGGACAAGGATTGTTTTCGGATCCTTTTTGTGGGGATTCAGAAATTAATCAATTATATTCGTTCATTATATATCGTGTGATCAGTTTTTGTTTGTTCATCCTATATTGTGCGATCAATTTTTGTTAGATAGTATTTATATTCATTTTTAAATTAAAAATTTTAAATGATTTCTAACCTATGAAAAACGGACACAACGCAATTGATTGAGGATTCTTGTCCCCTAATGTGATATTGGAGAAATTTTTTTTATTGTGGCTGAAGCATAAGTACTATCACGTGTATTTATATGTGTGGTTGGGAATTTATTTTTTAAGTTACTAATTTTTTGATACATATTCCTTATTTGTATAGTGACATATAACGAGGATTATTGACTGAACTAGTAGTCTGATAGGAAGCTGTTCACACTCAATCTCTCGCTCAGTCTAGTCGAATGAATGAGAACGGAACTCCCTCTCATGATCTTGAAGTTTAGAGTAGACAGACAGTCTTTCGGTTGAATGTATTTACCGAAATAACCTAACCCCTTTTTTGTAAGGTCCGCATAGAAATATGCTACTGAAGTAGTAAAGCTAAAGCCCCTTGTTCGCATCTCGTTCTCCCGCATGAAAGCTTTGGAACAGCAGCTAGACTCTTAAAAGCAGCAAGTAAGTAAACCACCTTCTCATGTCTCCGGACCTTCTATGAACAGGGGAGCTGCTTTGAGAGAAATTATGCCTATTTAATTCATTTTCTTCGATAGCATCCGATTACTGAACACCTTCCAAATCCGACGGCACACTCACAGTGAAAATTTCTTGTGGTTGTGGGGTTTTTTATTAAAAAATAATAATCAGGACAAAAGCTACCAAAAACAAATAAATATGAAGTCGCGCTGCCAAGGATCTGGCTTCTCTGTCCTCCCACTTCCCATACACTCTCATCCTCTCTTATTTTGTGCAGTCACAGTTAAGCCACGTCAACATTTTATATTGCTTTTATATATATATATATATATATATATATATATATAGATAATAAGACAAAAAACAATAGTAATATAAAATGTTGATGTGGCTTAATCATGACCTCATAAACAAGAGAGTATGAGAGTGTATGAGAAATGGGAGGGTAGAGAAGCCAGCTCCCGTTGCCAATGCCAAAGTCTATCTGAGAAATCTAGGAGAATCTCTCAAAACGTGAGATTTTCATTTACTCCTTGTCACCTATATTTTTAACATAATTTTCATACAACATCATATAATATTATGCAAAAAAATAAAGTGACTGAGACTTCATAAAGAATCTCACTTCGAAAGAGTCCCCTAAGCGTTTTTGATGTCTATCGATGCCTTGCTTTATGTGGTATTGACCTTGATCATTAAAAATAAATAATCAATCGGGGGGTGCGTAAGTTATATAATAATCTTTGTGTTTTGACTCGCTTATTTTTCAAATGTCACAAGTTATTTTTCAAGAAGGAATAAAATTACTAAATAGACCAAATTTTTAAATCAAATTTTGTAAAATAAATAATATAATTGTTGATGTTTGGATGATTACTTCAGTGTTGATTGATGTGTTCATTTCTTATTGGTGACACATTATTTGATTTGCAAATTTAGTTTAAAAATTTGTCTTGCCTAACATTACTGAGAATAAGGAAAGACTTTTCTAGTCAAATTCCGATTGAGGTGTAAACCCAAGGGGCCCTAAACAAATGGCAGAGCTACTCACAAGGCAAATGTGCGCTGTAGCCCAGGAAGGTCTTCTGTAAAGGTAGTGTTATCCATCCACTCATTTTTATTTCTCATACATTCCTCTCAATTTTCGAGGATCAAATGAATTGAAGATGATCAATAGAAAAAATTAATAAGGGTGTGTTAAAGGTAAAAATGAGTGTGCGACTAACACTATACTTTTGTGTGAATATCACTATTCAATGGAGGTCATTATTTAATATATATATATATATATATATAGAGAGAGAGAGAGAGAGAGAGTAGAGGATAGGTAGTAAATAATACGTTTTATGCTAAAAATTATAAATTAGTTCCATCTCTCATCCCCTTTATCCTATTCGTTAAAGAAAAATATCATTTATCCTATGCAATTTAGCCTTTGTGCTTCTTGCTTAAGAAAAGAAAAAGAATGTTTTTTTTAAATCCACAATTAAATCCCTATCTCCACATTTTCTTACTTTCCTTTACGATTTTCTAATGAACGTCACCTTTGGTACGCTCTTAATCTCTTTATTTACTTAGTCTTGATTTAATTAGTAGGTTGACTATTTATATGGTCCTTGAATTTATCGGTTAGGGTTATGAATTTGAGAATAGTTTACATTTTGTGTTGTTCTTTTATGGTACTAATTTCAGCTAGCCCGTCTAAAAAAAAATGGGTGTGATATCCATACACCTCTTTTTACTTCTCGCACACCCTTTTAGTTTTCGGCTGTTAAATCAGATGAATTGAAGAAGATCAACGAATATAAATTAACAAGAGTTGTGTGAAAAATAAAAATGAGTGTGTGGATAACACACGTAAAAAGTAAAAATGGACGTGTGGATAGCATACCCCAAAAAAAAAAATCCTGACTCTGACCTTGCCTGAAACATCAAACAAGACACAGGATGCCTTTGTTGAATCTCAACCTTTTAATCTGACTTGCAAATGTAAGTCTAGCAGTTGGTCGGAACAATGTCTGTCAACGAGTTCGAAATAGTGACATTATTCTCTCTCTATACCTGCATCCACATAATTTTATTCATTCGTTTTACGAATCGTCTCTATCCGTTGTTCGTAGTGACTTGTGTATTGATTGTGTGATATCTCCTATGGCAGGTGTGTTAGAACCAATCAAATGTTAAGTATATATTATACAACAATTTGCACAGTTTTATTTTGAATGGAAAAACTCAACAACAAATACAATATATTAAAACATAAACACTTAGTGTAATTATATATAAAATCACAAATCACTGACTTGTTCTTTGAAGATAGAGGCTTGCAGAAGCAATCTCCTAAGACAGAAATTCGTCCCTACACCAGTGCAGCAGTTCGATGGACGTCTATCTTGCAGGATACAACTATCTAATCCAAGTTCTTGCACTCGAACTCGGATTCTTGGCGAATTGGTTGTGGTGTTTCTCTGTGAATTGTGAGGGATTTGATGGAAGATTGATCTCTTTGTTTCTGATCCGACAACCATATATAATGGCATAAAATGAGCAGTTGAAACCGTTCATTTTTATCTTTAAGAACGGTTACAACAGTTCATGTGATTGGTTTTATCATTTCAGAGGAAAAAAAAAACTGAATGAAAAAAATCAAAAATGTAAAAATGATACTTGGGTTTTTCGTCCATCCGAGCCCAAGGTTCATGGCTTTGACATTTAATATATATACCCAAACCCTCCAAATCTAAGGCCCAAGGTTCATGGCTTTGGCCCAATTCAATTCAAACTATAAGTGAGTGAACTCACTTATAAAGAGTTGTTGTAAAGGGTGTATGGGCGATGTGGGACTGGCAGTCCCACATAACACAATGAATCATATATTTATAGGTGGTGATATCCACACACCGCTTTTTCCTTCCACACACGCCTTTCAATTTTTTGCTGTCAGATCAAATAAATTGAAAAGGACCAAAGGATATAAATTAACCAGGGGTGTGTGGTTAATTTCCAGTCTAACAAGTGGAGTTTTTTTTCAAAAAATAAAAATAAAAAATTATAATAATACATACCACCGGTGGTACGATGGACTACTGAAATTGTATAACATAGCAGTAGGACCTTCATGAATTAACAAAAGGTATTCCTATGTTAACTATCTCAAAGGTACCATCTAATTCCAAATTGATATAAAAGCCATAAAGGATGAATGAGAAGAGAACCTCTTAAAGTTACAAGTTCGTGAGTGTGAAATGCAGATACATGCGCAAATTGGTAATCACGGAAACATGATTAAAAACAAAATGGGTTTTCTTTAATCATCTTTTTATATATCATAATTCTTTAATCATGGCTCAATAGATTCTCATGAAACGTGTTTGATATTTTTCGGCCTTGCTGTTAATATTTGTTTCGCGTTACATAGTAAGCATGCTAAAACTTACAAATAAACACAGTTCAGGGCAGAAAGACGACATCACAAGTCTAAGTTCACAAATCTTTATCATACAATATAAACCTTCAGCAACAATAGAAAAAACAGTTATTCCATTCATTCACAGGATGGTTGTACAAACTGTTCACTAACCTGTGTTTGAAACGTCGCATTCTACAAACACAGCAGACGGGAAACCTAAATTGGAATGGAACTTGGCATTCTCCTTCTGAACAAGGGAGGAAACTTCCTTTCCCTTTTCTTCTGAGAAACCAACAACTGTCACAAATATTCCCTTCGTTGCCAGAGCTAAGCTAAGAGCTTTTCCTACACAGAAAGAGCCCACAAAATCACTAATAAAAACAGCTAGCAGCACGGGACCAATCATACTGCTAAAGAACCTGCAAGTCTACAATGAAAGTAAATTGTGTATGCACTTTGGTAAGCGGTTGCGTTAAGAATTCGACTGGAATTGAAGGCCTCATTTGGTGTTTAAGATTGGATTGGAATCGATAACCCTCTAAATTCAAGGTAAGCCAGAACTCAGAAACAAGAAATGAAAAAACTATGTCCAACTTGAAGGTAGGAGATGGATTACTCGTCAAGAAAACTTACCCACCCCCAAATGGGAGGTATGGAAAACACAACTTCCCTTCACGT